CATCCTTTGTTTTCTGATAAACTCTGCAAAATTATGTAAAGAGAAATCTTTTGTGTTACAATTTAGAAATAATGCAGAAACTTTGATTCATATGTAAAACAATGATGCAAAAACTGTTGGCTAAAAATTGATTTCAATCTTATTTCCTAGTCTTCTTTCCCAGAGAGGGCAGAATGGAGCATGAGGATTGCAATCAACACGTTTCAGAGCCAAAATATGAACGCCTTCTTTTCTATATTGATGACACCCATCTGCTTTTGGTTCCTTGACCCTCAATTTTCTGAAAGTCAAAATGCTTAAGTCTAAGCACTAGATGGGTGGTCAGAAAAAAGCACCAAACGAAGGTTTACTAAAAGCAATACCAAACAAGCCGTTAATTAAGCTGTAATAGCCAGAGATAGACACCCTCGAAATTGTCTAATTATAATTTTACACTTTTCAGAACTTCTTAATTCAGATGTAATCGCCAGATTTCTGATTGTTTTATAAGAATCTGTTATTAATAAAGAAAAATTCAGCAGGAATGTGGTGTTACCTATCAATTAGTCTAGTATGACTTTATTCATCTGATATAAAAAGCCAAGCAAAAAGACAATTATCTGAAGTTTTAACCTGTTAGGCTGTTATATTAGGATTGCAACAGTGTTAAATGCATCCTTGAGCCAAAAGCCAAAATCTACAGATATATTTCTCAGGCTCCATAAATATAATCGAGTTTTCATAATGAAAATGGAACTTGCCTCAATTGAACAAACCAAATAAATATGAACAACACCCAGAAAGTCCTTTCCCAACACCTATGGGAATCTTTTACCCCCACCCCGACCTACAAACAACCCTGCAACTTTACCGCAAGGTCAGCCCTCTCATATACCCAACCAAACAGGTAAAAACAAGTACTTGATATGTACTACGCAGACATCTCAAACTTGAGTGTATTAAGAGTTCGAAAGAACAAATGAGCTATGTTTGCCTTAATGTCAAATTCGAAACTCATTTATAGAGATAGTAATAGGATTGGTAAATGTTAGATTGTTTCTCAAAATCCACCCTTGAGCTGAGCTTAATTGTTAAGATACTGTAAGAGCCTTTCAAATGTTCATTACAAAACTTGCAATCTATCATTACCCTGCCACCTAACCTCCATTCGACGTGACATTCGACATTCATCTCAACAGCCAACACATAAAATCTATTTATTCCAACTCAAACACATAAAAGTATTAATATTTTAAAGAATGAAAGGTCATTTTACCTTCATTATTTGAAACTTAATGCAGAGATCTCACACCATAAATTTCCGGTTAATTTAATGCTGCTCCGGTAGATAAAGCCATATGATGTTTAATATTTTCAGCACACAAAATGTTGGTGTTTTTAATAAACACAGATAGAATACATAACTGTCAACAAGTAAATATTTTGAAGACTTTGCAGACTTCGGGTAATAGAGAACATGAAAACATAACAAAACAACAAACAAATGTAATAAATCCAAAAACAGGAAGTGGGATTTTTACCTAGTCACTTGATTATCTCAAAGACCCCAGGCTTAGTCTTTTTGAAGTCTTTGAGTTCTTTTAGAAGTTTTTTAAAAAGTTGGCTGGAATCCTAATACCAGATATTTCTTTTTTCAAGACTTTAAGGGGTTGATAAAAATGTGAAGCACTTTCTTTCTGGTAGAAGCAGCAGAGTCCAATGCACGAGTCAAGGAATAGTTATGTACCTAGAATGGGAAAAATAAAAAGCTTAAAAATTGTGTCAAAAATATGTATGAGATGGAGATGTTTTCAAACAGACACTTGACCAAATTATATGTTTTAATGATCAAATGTTGGTAACAATTCATTGGGCGTCCTATATGAAAACATAATATAACAGCAAACAAATGTAAACTTAAAACTTTATGGAGAAAAGAAGAAGATACCAAAAGATCCCACCACTCTAAAGAAGACACAGATGAAGCAGCCACATCCTATATGCTCCAATTTATTCCTAACCTAGTTACACAAGAAAACAATGAATCCATCTTATCTCTACCCTCGGCGAATGAGAATAAAGAGGTGGTATGATAATCAACTGCACAGATTGCAAAGTCATACCTCATCCCCCATCATACAACCACATCAATATGAAAATGTAAGAGATGGGTCCCTTTCCAAAATTAGCACCCATCGATTTCAATCTATTTAAATCAATATTATAAGATAGAGAAACTGAAAGCTGTTTAATTCATACAAAACAGAGACATAGTTTTTCAAGCTCATTTTAAGAATGGAAAAGCGTACACAACATAAATAATAATAATAGGGCAAACAATAATCAAATAGGGCATACAATGATTTTTGGAGGATATAACAATTATCTAAACTCATCTACCTTCTCCGATTGAAGATCTTTGACATAAAGCTTCCAATTTTGATCACCAATTCGCAGGGCAAGCCAAGAATCCCAATATCTTCACTGTTTGTCCCCTTCTTAGAACGGTGGTGGATGTAGAAATCGTCTGGTTTGCGAGGCTTGTTGATGGAGCTCAGAAAGTGAGCACGAGAGATGGAATGGATGGCGTCGCTGAGCTTATCGTGCAAACCCCATATTTCTCCAGCACTGCTTCAAGCTCTTTCTCTTCCTCGACCTCCATTTCCCATTTCATGGAGAACACATGAGATGAAACAGACTAAATCTCCTTTTGAAGGGTCACGTAATTTCTTTCTTCAAACCGGTCAGCATATCCAACCCGATTATTGATTGTTGAAGCCTAATCGCAATACTCACCGATGAGTATAGAGAAACGATCGAGGATGAAAGAGACCGACGGAAACATAACGGAGGATTAATGTACAACCAATATCAGATAATTTAGGGGCATACTAGCAAAATAATGGAAAAAGTGAACGCATCAAAATAATTTATCTAGCTGTAAAAGAAGTACACATGTCATAAACTGACTGGACAGACACAGTACCTCTAATTTTGTGAAGGTACCGGAGTACACACCTTAAAGGAAACGTAACTCAAAGTGAAAACTGAAAAGTGAAAACAACATACTCCCTTTATAAACGGTAGACCATGGGCGCGCTCACTTTCACAGATATAGGAACAAGAGAGAAGAACTTTAAAAAACAATCTCTCGGCTGATTGAAAGGATAAAATCAACGGTGTATAGTCATAGGCTTTTCCAACAAGTATTAAATTTGTTTTGAAAAGTTTTTTTATACGTAGTATGCATGTTTCTATTTAGTGCATACTTATTTTTTTTCTAAGACATTTCTGAAATAAAACTTATTGACAAAAGTATAACTAATCGTATAGTGTAGTTTAGACGTGTAGTTTTGTAATCACTTAAGTATAAATATTGAACATAGTTACCAGTGGTGGATTTGAAACATGACATTTGGATGTTCAATGCTTTTTTCAATTAAAAATTTAGAAGAGTAATAAATAATTATACTAAATCTATACATATATAGTTTCTCAAAAGTTTAAGTGTTCATGTAAACACTTTGGACCAAGTGTGGCTCCGCTGCTGATAGTTACTATACGATTAAATTACTATTATGATACGTATTATAGTCTGAGATTGAGTTTTTGTGAACAACATTTATTTTAATCATCACACATGCATGTATGTAAGCAAGACATATTTAACACATAATGTTTTTTCGTAGTACACATATTTAAGACACATGATAATTACTTCTGATCTGTTTTCCTGATAGTCGATCACTTGCTTTCAAAATAATCATATCATTATCACGACTTAAAAAAAACAAAAAAAACTACGGCTATTGTCCCGTGCATCGCACGGGTACAATACTAGTCTTACTTTAACTGACTATTATTTATATAGAAAAAGTATTGGTAATATCAAAATAATATTAAAAAAATTTGTTACAAATATCATCATAAAAGTAGTAATTTTGATCAACAAAAGTGTGCATCAAATGTAAACATACTCTATGTGGTTGTTCCCGAAATTGAAGGATTGAAGATATTGATAAGCAACCTGATGGTGCCTCCAGTAGTTTATTTTGTATTATAAAGTTCTTAATTTTTTATTTCAACATACTACGTTTATTTATAACAAACGTGTAATTACTATTAAAAAAACGTGTAAATTTCTTCAATATCATATATTTATTTCAATCTTATTATATTATAAATGTGTATAAGTGTATTGCATTGATATTTTGATAAATGATATGTATATCTCATAAGTAATATACAAAGAAAAAATGTCCCCATGCATGGCTCGGGTACAATACTAGTAACAATAACAATAACACAACAAAACAACAACAATATTGATAGTAGGCCTGGCCTCGGGCCGGTTCGGGCCCGGTTCGGGCCTAGGCCTAACCAAAACTTGTTTTTTTTTCTTCTCCTATTTAACCCCCTACCCCTCCCCCTCAACCCCAAACCATCCCAAACCACCTCAAATGGCCCAAAACACCTATTCCAACCTAAAACTTAAAAAAAAATCAAAAAAAAATAAAAATATTTTCCGGCACAGACCGGGCCCGAACCGGTTCACAAAATCAAGGGCCCGAGCCCGGACCGCCCAGCAGCTGGGTCAGGTCGGGCCTCGGGCCGGGCCGGGCCTACAGTAACCGGGCCGGTCCCGGGTCGGGCCGACCGGCCCGTGTCCAGGACTAATTGATAGTGATGTTCACGATAATAACAATGGCGACGGTAACACTAAGAGCATCTCTAATGCTATAATGTGCACGGTGCACATGTGGCATGAATGATAGCCACATAAATATTAGCAAATAAATTAGCTCTCTCCTTATTTGAATGATTTTATACAATTTTAGTAAGTTTTCCCTGCAATGTCAACAACAATGTCAACATCTAGACGGTCTCTTTGACATTGTAGAGAAAACCTTACCAAAACTGTATAAAATCATTCAAATAAGGAGAGAAAGAATTTATTTATTAATATTTATGTGGCTATTTCTCATGCCACGTGTGCACCGTGCACATTTTACCATTGGAGATGCTCTAATAATAATGGTGACGCTACCAATAATAATAACAATGATGCCCATGGTGATGGTAGACCCGTGGACCGTGGTGCGGTGGTGGTAATGTTCATAATTTTACTAATAATAATAATAATAATAATCATAATAATAATAATAATAATAATAATAATAATAATAATATACTAATAATATAATAGTAGCAAGATTCCTCCATAGTACCCTTGAAGTTCTCCTTATATCGCTTACATCAATGGGCAGTTCCAATTATTTGCAGCTCAGACACTATCGCACCACAAGTAATTAAAACATTTGCAGATCAATGGCATCAGCTCAAACATCATTCTCCAGCAGCTCAAATTTACTATTCTCATTCGGACTTGAATTGGCTAATCTGCAAGTAAAATGAAATGCGTCAACAGCAAGCACGCAGGAGAGTCAACGAAGCTAAAAGAGAGGCAGGGGTTGAAACTTCAAGGAGAACAGAGCGGCATGGGTTCAAAGACAAGAAGATGTAGCTGTAAAGTATGATTTAAAATAATAGGCCAATCAAACAGTAGTAACACACAACTATCAATCACATTTTTATAATGTGAGCCGGGAAAAGATTACTACTGCCATGGCAAGTGATGGAATAATACCCAAATTAATTGTGGGATTACAGAACATGAACTTTAGCTAGATGCAGAGATAGGATATTATTACCATTGCTGTCCTGGTGCCAATCTCACGAAAGTCAAACTTCTATCTGCTTTGAATATGCAATGGTAAGCCTTGGCTTGAAGAGTCTTCACCTCTCCCGAAATGGTGTCTTTGGCAAGGATGGTTATATAGTAATTGTAACCACAACAAAGTCCATAGTTTACTTTCTTGATCCGCACTAGTTCCAACTTTGCATTCTAAAATTCCCATAAAAATATTAGTTGGTTCATGAAATTAACAACAGAAAAGAATTGTTCTGATTATAAGTTTCAAAAGGTGCTTAGAGGAAACTTAGGTTGCAATAGTCAAGGATCTAGGCACAGAAAACTGAAGTCAAAGGCATATCTGTATGCTAAAACGGATTATCTTTACAGATCATCTTGAGCTCAAAACATTAACACCATGTTTTGAATATTAATATAGGAATATGCTTCATAATATAAGACTATATCTCTAACAGAGCATAATGCGAACTAAATCATGCACAAATATGGACATCGAAACTCACAATATTAACAAGTTCAAACTTCAAAAGTTCAAAATTCATAACATAAAGCAAACAAACTAGATGACTGTACCAGATAAATATTCCCTCTAAAAAAATACAGCTTATCATGAAAAAAAACCGGATAATAGAAATCGTTGGAAAAAAAAAATAGAGGCTCTGTGCCTCACACCTAGGACAAGGCATCCTGATGCGCACAACTCATGGTACCTACGATGCCCAGACTTACAGGGACTATATTTCACTGCCTCACTATGCATTGTGCTCATTTGAACTACGTGCTTCTCCTCTACCGGAGTTCAATGTATGCTGGTCAAGAATTGAACGATTTTAAAATCTACACCATCGGGCCCACATCACTGAACAACATCACATTTGTTAGGTTCAAACATTTTAGATGGGAAGGAAGATATAGAGTTTTAAACTATTTGTCCATTTGAAAGGTCAAAGGTAATAGTGAAGATGAATAACGATATACAAATGGAGGGACGAACTAATCATGTACCTATTTTAGTATTTCTCATTAAAACAACTATTCCGTAACAAATATAGGTGAAATAGTAAAATAAAAATCAATCATTCCATTCACGGAAATAAAAAATCCAAGCAAGTTCAGAGAAAGATACAGATTGACAAGAGAGCAAGGGAAAGATATTAATTGGAAGGATTACTATGTAGCACATACGTTATCAGCATTGTACTGATCAATGGCCATTGAGGTGTAATCCTTCACGGAGCTATAATGAGATGGATACTGATCCTCGTCATCTGAATCCTCCTCTGGATCCTCCTCTGAGTCCTCCTCAGAATCCTCCTCCAAAGCCTCCTCTGTATAGAGTGGATATACTGCGCCAAATTGGATACCATCTGGTACAGGGGGGACATCAAAACCCTAACAACACAGTGAAACTGAACAATTATGGAACAAAGTAATCTATTTTTAAGTCACTATAATTGACAACCGTATAACAAAAGGAAAGGACAGGGCACGCTGATAGGTCACCTGAGACTCAACCAACCGTCTAATGTACACCTTCGTCTCCTTCCAAGCTTCTTCACTCTCATACTCGCTCCTGCTTCCGGCATAATCCTCACTGTTGAAACTTTCGGCGTCGTCGTCGCCGTCGCTTCCCAATGTTTCATGTGACACCGGTGGTATTTCCTCGCTCGATATGGTGCTATGGTTGCTATCATCGCTTGTTTTTCCTTCCAAAGATGATGGATCAAAATTCGAGAAGTTGAATGTTTTTTCTCCGCCGATGAAATCTGTGTTCGGCATCTCCATGGACGAACTCCACACGTAGAAGCCAAGCAATTTCGTTAATTGGGATTTGATATTGCCGATTTCAGCCTGGGAATGGATATTAATGACATGCGGGTCGGCGTATTTGATCATGTCACTCCGTTTTAGGTTGTACGAGCCCTAATGCCCTATGGATATTGCCATATTGGGCTTAGTGATTGCTCATGATTATGGATGATAAGTATAAAAAAATTGTACAAAAATAATGTTTTTATCCATTTTTATATTCACGTTTACTTACTCATATTTGTATTTTGCACTCACTTTTATACTCATTTGTACCTACTCATTTTTGTGTTGTTTTTTTGTTTGTCAATCCTTCACATAAATATTTTGTTTATGAACCTGATTCACTGACAAAAAAATAATCTTCATAGAGGTGGGTATAAGAGGACGGTACAAGTGTACAACAAGCATTATTTAAAACTGTACAGGCTTGATGTTTTTAATCCCATTTGATAACTTTGAAGTGAGTGGATAATTGATTCTGCTGATTTGTAAATGAATTATGTTTACAATATTTTATTAAAAACTAAATAAAAGTTATATGAAAAGTAGTTTAAATGGTCTTCTATCAATTCTTATAGTAATTTCAACGTTAGTTTTTCTTATTTATAACACAATGCAGCACGCGTGATCAAGTTAGTTGAAAGGCCCGATAAGCCAGAAAATAGAGTTACCAAACGGACTATTTTATTATATTACTCTATAAAGTGTGTCACACGTTGTTCATAAATCGGAGAAATTTCATTGAGTATGTAAGTTTTGAAACATATTTCATAAATATATTGTAGATAGTTTTCTATCTCGTGCAACACACATGTAAAAAAACTAGTAGAAATGTTTTTTTGTCACAAGCTGTGCACAACTTGTACACAAATGTCAGCCACAAATAATTGGTGTGTTGGCACATGGGAGCTGTGCGTGAGCATACATACACTTAACACATAGAGATTGATTTGCACGCAAGTGTCAGTGTCATGCATTTTTCAGTATGTTTTTTATACGAAAAATAATGTTTGTGGAGACAACACGAAAACTAATGTTTGTGGCCTCGTTAGTGTTAAATCTCAGGCCATCACTTATCCTCCACGCACACCATTGACGTAAATCTGCCATTAAGTTGGCAGATTTAGCCTTGAAGATTAATTACTAATCTACCTTGAATATAAGTTTCCAGGTTTGCCATAAACTTGACAGATTTATCTTGGCCAATTTACACAGAAATGCTAATCTTGGCAAAATATGAAAATCATAACTAAATATCCGAAAACCAAAGGTTTTAGTTGAACAAAAACTTTAACAAATTCACCTCAAACAAAAATAAGAAGTTAATGAAAAAAAATGATTTACACAAAAAGTTTGTAGCCATAATACGATTGTCGGGGTACATTAATGGTGCGAACTTGGAAAACAAAGAATATTAACTAATTAAAAATTAATAAAATAGCCAACGAGCTGGTCCTGGAGCAAAAAAGTAGGAACATTGCGGGAAGAAACAAAAATTAAATTTTATTCTTAGAAGATAGATTTTCGGACACCATTCGTGTTCGCAGGTCGCGATTTTACTACATGGTTGCGGGGTGGAGAACAACCGATATGCGCCACTTTTGCTACACTATGGTGGCTGATCGCTTCAAGGACTGGACGAACAACGATCTTGTCGTCCTGAAGTTTTGGCAAGAAGAGATGAAGGTCTTCTATGACCTCGGCCAATGACGCATGCAAAAGTTGGTCTACCAGAAGCTGCGTCGGCGCTTCAGGAAGATGAAGCCGAAGGACCCTAATCTGCGCCAGAGAATGAACGATTCGGAGGAGGAGCTTAAGCTGCCCATGGAGCAAAGGCAACGCCCTATTCTGATCTCTGATATAGGTGAAGAGCCATGGAGTGATGATGTTTTGCTTGAGGATACTACCGGCTCTAAGGCCGAAGGTGCAGGCGACACAGATGGTGCTGAAGCTGATGAGGATGCCGGCCAGGGGGAGGTCAAGACGAAAATGCAGCCTAGTCCCCTTTACATAATCTTGGCTTAGGATCGTAGGTCTAGAGGCCGTGGTGCCCACTATAATGTAATGGCTGAAGTACGCCGATATGTACTTATAATTTTTTTGAATGAAATCATCGTTCTCTTGTGCATGTCTCTTTGTCTGCTTTCTTCGAACTTTGTATGGTATTTTCATGTGCTTGTATACTTAGAAAACTTTTCCAAAGTATAAGAATCGTGTCTACGTTTTTGGCGTGGTTAACTATCGGCCAAGTAATGTTGTGTTTTGGCCGAAATGAGGTCACTTCGTACTTGGGGATGTTTCCAAATATAGTCTGTTGTACCTTCGTCTGATGTGAATTTGTTAGCTCTGGTGATAATGTGATATGGACGAAGGGTCCTTCCCGACCTTTGGCTAAGAGGTTTGTCTTAGCAAATTCCTTCCTTTGACGTGGTGCATAAAGTGTTTCTTTATAAGTGTAGTGTGCCGCTACGGCCTAGGGCTTTTTTTAACAAAGTCCGGAAAGTGGTAGTATGCCTGATATGTACTTAGCCAGAATATACAACTTTGATGTGTGGGGATTTTATTTTTGTTGCTCGAGGCCGGCGAGTGCGCAGTCCTTCGGCTTCCTTTTTTTTTTTTACTTTCTCTTCTCTGTACAAGGAGTGTGGCCTATTTATGGATGTGGCCAAGGAAGATGTTATTCCATCGGCCATTAATGGGAAATTACCCATTTTCACTTTTTCGCGTGGGCTAAGACTGGGGATCGTTGTGCCCATGACTAAGCGGTTCGGTGGCCTTTTTTCAGAGCTTTTCCTCGTCTATTTATGAATAGGGACCAGACTTGCCGTTTGTTTGCACCGGCTACCTTTGTTGACCCCTTGGAAATGACTTTGAGTGGGGAGTCTTTGTTACCTAGGCCTTCTTTCGAGCTTGTCAACCGTCCTGCGTTTTACGCGTGGACGACACAGTAAGCTTCTCCGTTTGAAGATGCCGGACCATGATTTCAGGTCCTTTACCCTACATATCGTCGACCATACCAGGGTGTTGCACCGCGTGGGGGCCGATACGATATGTGGTTGTATTTGTTTTTCCTTTACTTAAATCTTCAAAGAATATGTCCAACACGATGTTTTTATAAAGATAAGTGGCTCGAGTCCGAAGGTGAAGTTCAATCATAATTCTGAAGAGAGGTGGGGGTTTTGCCCGGCTGCACCACTTTTGATGGCCCCCGCGCGCTTGCTAAAGAAAAAAAGACCCCACCTTCGAGGGAATATCAAATTTCCACATCCTAGTCCAAATGATTCCATGCCCTGAACCAACCTCCCCAACATGAGCGCGATAACAACTTTTAACCGAGAAATTACTCTTATCTTCCAAAGGCCAGAAGATCCGGTCCGGCACATCCCTTTGGCTCAGAGGTAACCCCAGAATAAGATTCCTATCCCGCGGATTGAACCATTCAAAAACTTGGCCCCTATCTCATTCCCGATTTCCATTTGAAATCGAGAATTTTTCATGTAAGTAAATAATTTTTCATAAGGGACTATAGGTCCCTTATGTTCAATATTATGGTCATATTTTAGTAAATAAATTTCATGTAAGTAATTTTTTTCTTCTACATTTGTTTTCTAATCTCTTGGAAACTGGCCGAAGTCAATATAAACTGATTGAAGTTAACTGAATCGAAAACAACCAAACCCAACTTAGGTTGTGCATTTCTCTTCTCGGCTTTATCTTTTCTAAACTAACTGACTAAAAATGTACTCCTTAGTATGATGTGTATAATGAAATGTGTTGTTTAATTTGGATTATGAGAATGTGGTTAATTTGTGCTTTGGGTGTTGATTAAAAGAGGAGCCAACAAAAATTGAAAAATTAATCCGGACAAAAAACTATACGAAGGAATTGTAGGTAGAAGTAGAAGAAATCTTAGTCTTCCAAATTACAAAGGTACTGTTGAATGTTCCTAAAAATTATACCAAGGAATTGTGTTTCCTGGCCTCAAAGTTGTATTTAAGATTTCCCTTAGCCTTAAGCCTTAACTTTGAACCAACGGTCCCAGAAATCTTTTAGTTCGGATGCAGCTCCCTCTTCTTTATACCTGTCATCAACAATAACCTACATGCATAGCAAAATATGACTGGCTCAAATTTGTAAAAGTGAATACTTATTCAAACTAGCTAATTAAATATGTAAAGATAAACGTAATTATTTTTTATTTTTCTAACTTCTAAGTAGCGCAATTTACCTCTGCAAAGGATATGCCTTTCAATCGTGAGTATGGCTTTCGAGAACTTGATTGTCGTATGATTTTCCCATACCCTTTTTGGCCCCACGTGCTTCCATAGGAATTCTTCACTAGCCAATAATGAATTCCTTCTTCAGTCGTGCCATATCCAACTATCAGAATGGCATGCAATGGAGAGTTGCGTAGCTGTTTCTCTTGTTTGCCCTTTCCCTTTTTGGGGACCTTCTTCTTCTCGGGTGAGTGATACGCTTCGTACATCACGCCCTATGAAATATAGCAACAAAAAAAGTTAATACTTTGTAATCGGTATAAACTATAAAGAAAGAAGTGGTACGTCTAGATTAATAAATAATTACAACAAAAACACAACCTTCAAGAAGATAAACTGACCTTCAAAAAGTTCAATCAGTGAATTTTTTGTGTGCAAATGCTCAAAAAGAACTGGCAAAATATCATTAAGGTACCTGTATCTTAAGACTACAATGGGAATTGAAGTCCTGTACTTTGTACTCCGTATCGTTTAATTTGTTCCGTATCTTTTAATTTGTGCTCTGTGTATTCTTTAATACTTTATATATTACTAATACGTTTTCTTCTCAAAAATATTAATAAATTGTTATAAATAGGATTAATGAAGTGGAAAATTTCCGCTTGTAGGAACCATTATAATATTATATCATAAAAATCGGCATGTTTATCTACTTTTCGTGATACTATAGCGACGGTGTGGAACCTATCAAGAGTGTTATCATAACTGATCTGGGATCTAGATGATACTCATATATGTTTTAATTTTATCATGAGACTAAGAGTGATATGATTAGAGTTTGGAAGAAGGATCGTGGATGTGTGGTAAAAATATTATTGTCCTGAGTAAATTGGAGGAAGAGGGTTTACCTATATGTTCGTTTTACTATGAAAAGGGCCAAAAGAATGGTAATCTTGTGTGGAGATTTGTTAAAGTTGATGAGTGATAAAATAATGGCTGAAATATTACTTTCCAACTTTCATTAGACAAAAGCTATGTTGTAAGAACCGGACCGGAGAGTGACCCGGCCACATGACTGGGTCACGGGTCAACCCGGACCCGGTGGGTCAACCCGGTCAACGCCGGAAACCGGTCAATGATTATACGTCTATATAATAATAGTAAACATATAATTATATATAAAATTATAATAAAAATTAGTTATTATTCATTATAATCAACTAAGAATACTACTTATTAAGCATTTAATACACTCTTATAATATTTCAATGTATTTTTTGATCTTATAAAAATATATAATGATATTTTTATTTTTATTATACATCTATATTATAATTTGGCATGATGTTCATTCTTAATAAATATATAAATATATTACGTAGTTTTTCTTTGAAATAATGGCCTAAATATTAGTTGTAGGGTTTTAGTGGATTAAAATATGAGTAATTCCTGGAATGACGCAAAAGTGATTAAAACTAAGAAGTCCCCGATTCAAACGTTTTCCTCCCTACGTGGATGACCAGATTTTCTCCCCACCGGGCTTATTCTCCAACAGATCTGATATCCTCACATCCTCATCTGTCGTCCTCACATCCTCATCCGTCGTCCTCACATCCTCATCCGTCGTCCTCACATCCTCATCCGTCCGGCTATTCTCTCTGCCGCCACAGCTTTCCAATGGCCGCCGTCACAACTCTCCAGTGCCGCCGCTCGCCAACCGCCATCTTTCTCTTCTTTTTTCTTCTCATTTTTTCTTACCTGCTGCAACAGCTACCAGTCGTCCTCATCGCCCGATTCCCACTCCTTCGCTTGTTGATGACCGGTGGTCGCGCCTCCGCTGGCCGATGCTCGATCGACTTGCCTTACTTAGCTTCTCCGTCATCCTAGATGGACGCCGGTGCTTGATCCGCCGCCTCTATGGCCGACGACGACTCCGATTTAGCTCTACTGGAGCCAGATCTGTTGTCTTTGATGGACGACGGTTGCGGTTTGGGATCGCCAGTCCCGGATTTGCGTCTTTGGTGGATGACGGCTGCGATTTGAGGCCGCCGGTGCCGGATCCGCCATCTCGGCGCCGCTGGTGGTGGTGCGACGAGGGTTCCATTGTGTTTGGGTGGTGGTATGGCTATGCTTTTGGTTAACAGATCCTGGGGGAGGATAGGGGGCGGGGTAGGGGAGCAGGGGAAGGGGAGGGTGATCGGACTGGGGCTGGGAGATGGCGAGCTGATGCGCACTGCTAAGGGCAGGTTGGGGCAGGTTGGGGCACGTCAAGGGCAGTGGCGGCTATCGGTGGTTGTGACGACTAAGGTTTGGGGCTAGTGAACAGCGACTTGGGTAGGCAGCGGGACAGGCAGTGTTCTTGTTGGTGCCAGGAGCCGGAAAAAGGAGCGGGAAAATTTCTGACTGACAAGGCAGCGGCGATTTTGGGTGCTGGGGCATAGGGATGAGCATGGGCGGTGGTGTCACTATGGCCACCAGAGAAGGGTGACGGCAGTGGAGGTGTGGTGGCGGCGATAGTGACATGGGCGGTGGCTATAGTGACACGGGCAGTGGCTAAGTAACGCGAGCGACGACTACAGTGACACGGGCGGTAGCTACAGTGACACGGGCGGTGGCTACAGTGACACGGGCGGTGGCTACAGTGACACGGGCGGTGGCTACAGTGACACGGGCGGTGGCTACAGTGACACGGGCGGTGGCTACAGTGACACGGGCGGTGGTTGTAGTGATATGGGTGATGGCTGTAGTTACAAAAAAACAAACACAGTGACATAAAATTTTTGCAGTGACATCATGTTTTTTAATTCTACGTATATGACCTTCTTGATCACTTTTTTGCCCGTTTTTAAAAGTGGTCACTTTTTGGGTAATTGGTTCAAAATTAGTAATATTCAAGTAAAAAACCCTTTTTCTTTTTAAGGTATTGAAATTGCAATTTTATTGGTATAAAAAATGCATTAAAAATAAAAAAGAAATTACTTTTTTTGGTAAAAACACCCAAAAACTGGGTTTTACCGGGTTTTTCGGGTTTCTTGGGTCCGGGTCTTGACCGGGTTTTCCCGGGTCAGTCGAGTTTTTCCGGTTTTTGACCATTTCCGGTTTTTGAAAAAACCGAACCGGTTTTTTGTCCGGGTCACCGGATTCCGGGTCAACCCGGCCGGGTCGGGTCGGTTTTTTAAACATAGGACAAAAGTAACTATATTAATTCAGGACAAACAAGTTACTCAACTGTTCTTCTCCCGTTCTTTCTCGCTGCGCTCAAAGACCATCCTTGATGCTTCAACCTAATCGCTGTCGCAGGATCGACGCTTCAATCAATCGCCGCTGGAGGATCGAAGCCTCTTTCTCTACCATGACACTCGCTAGCGCCGTCTCCCTCCGCGGAGAGAACAACCGCATCATCACAGCTGCCCTCATCGACGCCTCTGCCTACACTCTTCTTCCTTTTCTTCTCTTTCTAACAGTTCGTGAGAAGATGTTTCGGAATTCGCTGGACATTCTCTTCGATTTGGCGGCGAAGATCTTTTATAGCTCCGGTGGCGGTGACTAGGTTAACTGTTATGGTTTCGGGACAGGGGAGGGAGAAATTGTGGGCTCGGGTCGGGGATGGGCAGATTGGTGCTAGATCGGAGTTGGGGAGGGCTGTGGCGATTGGCCTGGGGAAGGGGCTAGGGTGGGAAGTTAGGTTGACTAGGTGGCTGGCCGCTGGGTGTCGGGGCTGTTGCAGGGTTAGGGAGGATGAGGGCGCGGGCAATTGGCTGGTGGTCGGAGTTTGTGTGCGGAAACGACTGGGTGCCATTAGGGGGAGCAGAGTTGGTCGATGGTCGGTCATAGTGGTGGTTGTGATTGTGGTGGGGAGGGACGGTGGGGCCGACGACATTCATTGGCCGGTGGGGCGGCAACAATCACTGGTCGGGTGTAGTGACAGTCACTGGCCAAGGTGGTCTCAGTCACTATTCGGGGCAGCGACATTTGTCACTATGACCGGGTGACAATCATCCTGGTCGGTGGGGCAGTCGCTGTGGTGGTGGGATGGGGCAGTCATCGTGATCGATGGGGCAGTCACTGTGGTGGTGGGATGGGGCAGTCATCGTGATCGGTGGGGCAGTCACCATGGTTGGTTGTGATAATGGTCACAGTTTTGGATTTTTTTACAAAGTTATCATTTTTTTGTCTTTTAGCCTAATTTTAGTAATATCGAGGCCAAAAGGCCGAGTATACTTTCAATACTTGTTATGCAAGAATTTGACGGTTTATGTTGTGCATTAAACAGGGTTGACCGAAAAAGTTAATTATACGTTCATGAGGCATAACGACGACTGTTGTAACGGATTTGTGTTTATTATTGTAGTTAGTAACGATATTAAGGCAGGAGGATACTTATTATGAGCTAGTCCAAATTACCAAATTGGTAAAAAAAAAAAAGAGGGTCCTTGGACAGATTGGTAAAATAAATACCGATTGAGACAAATTGGCAAAAAAAAAGGTCTAGTGACAAATTGGTCAATTTTTTGTGACTGATAAACTTGCGATCTTCAACTTTAGAATTATCTACATTTCATATTCTAAGTATTCTAAAATTGACATTTGTAATTGATAGCGTATTAATTCTAGAGAGAAGTGAGAGCTAGAGAGAGAAGTGAGTAATTATATTTCTCAACCCCCTATAATGAGCCCCTTGGGGTCTATTTATAGGTAAAAATGTAGGTTTGGGCTCCTAGCCATGGGCTTAGGAGGCCCATTACAATAATTATGTCTTCTTTGGGCGAAATAGGGCCACTAATGGGCTGGGTACAATACTTAGTAAATAAAGTAGAGAGATGCATTCTGCCAGGACGAAGACTGGCCGATGCGGACCTTTTGGCCGATGCGAACCCATGGCCGATACGGTCCATGGGCCGACGCGGCCCCCAGGAGTCCTGGCGTGCTTCCTGGGCCGGTTCGGTTTCTGGCCGACGCGGACCCACTGGCCGAAGGGGGCCACGTGGGTGTTCTTCTGGTCATCGTTGACTTGAGTATGTGGGCCATGGGGTCCAGGCCCATATACTCTATCAGGAGTCTCCCATTCTCTGAGCTGAGGCGAAGCCGAAGCGAAAGGAAGTACTTGTTCCTTTCTGGCTGGCCGTTGCGTGAGCTTGAGGTGCTTGATGGCCGAAGGGATTCTGGTTTGATTTTGGATGAGGCGGCTCCCTCATGTGAAGGAGGCGAAGCGCTCTCAGGGATTTGTGGCCTTAATGTGGGCTGATGCGTTCTTTTGTGAAAGTGTACTTGAGGA